TCTGTCACTTCATGCACATGTATTGATCATATATCAATAATCCATGAAGGGGCAAGGTACAAATGTGATGCATGAACTGAAAGCTTCAGCCAGAAGCATGTGCCAAAAGCAGGCAAATTGGAAGCAGGAGGGACACTTGTGAAGTGCTAGGAAAGGGACCTGTAGAACTGAGGAGAGGAGCAATCTGCTGGAACGGTACGTCTGCAGAGGGAGATACAGAGACACCAACTGTCAGTTCAGTGGAAGTGCAGCATGTTCCCTGCTCTTGGGGACCGTGACTGGGTGGCCACTCCTTCATCTGCTGGCCAGCCAGGCACCAACCGCTCCTGAGGAGCAGCTTCAGTGTCCTGGTTGCTTCAGTCTGCTCTTCATCTTTACACCAGCCCTGGACCAAATGGGCCTTCCAGCGGAGGAGGCTTTGAAACAGGGGAGGGTCTTCCAGGAGCCCTCAAGCATATGGCTCCCCAGTGAGTTCCAAGCTGGGAGTGGAGCTGGAGCAAGCCACAGCCCTGGATTGCACACCAAAGCCATCTTTGGGGGGGGGGGGGCATTTTGGAGCCAGAGTGAACATGAAAAGTCCTTAGCTAAACAGGCTTTCTGTTTGTTGAATTTCATTGTTTTGACAAGGCTGTACTTCTAATGCTCTGTTGAGGCAAAGATGAAACTGAAAACAAGAACTTAGATGGGGAAAGAAAGAAAGAAAGAATTAGCATCTTTATTGGGAAATCAGGGCCAAAATAGAGATTTTCATTTTTACTCTAGAATAGGCACAGGGCCCCAATCCAGACTGTGGCACTCTCATGTGTGTGGGAACATAGGATTTGGATCACCGTTTCTGCTCTTGCAATTTCTATTGGAAAATAGTTATTGATTTGTTTTATGGATTGCTTTGGAAAACCCCAATTCTGGGTGTCAAAATCTGGGTTTCCTACTCTTTCTGATTCCAAACCCTCATCATCCTGCTTTTGTGATTGTGCTGAAAATGTATTCATTGATTTTTTTTTTTTAGTACATTAAACTCTGTCCATAGAATTTAATTCCTTCCCCTCTCTGCCCCCAGGCAATCAAACAGCCATCTATTGCATAAGTATCAGGGAATTATTTCCATATATCAGGCATTAATCCAGAACACACATAAACTAACTACACTCTTCAAAATAGAGATATGTGCACATGTATTTTGGAGATGATTTTTTTTCTTTTAATGGGGAGAGTGAAGAAAGGGATGCTTAATCACTTTCAGAAGTAATATTAAAATTAGCTGGAGACAGCCGCATCCAAAAGAGCCAGAGAAAAAGCGGAGACTGATGTGGCTGAAATTACCAGCTACAGATAAGCCATGGCAACTGCAGCTAAAACAGGAAACGAAATCCAGGGGTGAAAGCTATTTCTTGCATTTGTTTCTTGCATTCATCTCATGTTGCCAGTCTTGCCCTGCCTGGACTTCAGCCCCACAGGTGGGGGAGTGGTGAGAGTACCCTGAAAATGAGCGTCCCAAGTGCCATGAAAGATGCAGATTTAATGAGCTTTGATGGCTACAGGGAAATGTTTTCCCTGCTCATTCCTCTTTTCGCTAAATAGTGTGCATCTGGGCAATACAGCAGGGGAGCATTTCATCTGTCTGCTGGGGCCCATGTACCATGTAATCCGCAGGACAGCAGAATGAGAGTACATAAAACCTTCATAGTTTGAACCATCTATGCTAGGAAAGACTCAGAAAAGGAGACTGTGGACCCAGAGTTTGCCTCTGCTCAGTGCTGAAAAATGGAAGCACTGGGGTAGAGGAAAAGGGATGCATTTTGGGAGGGGAGGAAAAAATGGTATATGTGCAGATTGCATCTTCCTTGTGTGCTGTTTCCACCTTGGGAATACCTTTTGGGACCGGACTTAGAAGGGTCCGTTTAAACCCTTCTAAGGCTCCTGGCTTTCTCCTCCTTTGTAAATTGGTCTAATTAGGGTTGGCAGCTCATCTCCTTCCCTTGTGTTCAACTCAGGTTCTTGGGCACATGACACCTTTTTGTCTTCTGGGAAATGGGGCCACAACACCATGCCAGCCATTTCATGAATGGCAGTCATCTTGTGAGAGCAGCCATTGCATTCCCTCCACATTCCAATGGTGCCCACTGACCCCAAAGGTTGGGGAACCCATAACCTTTCGGTTGGCTAGCTGGCTGTCCTGCCATGCTGTGTCCACCCCACAGACTGCCTGGATCAGCAGATGTAGGATTTCTTAGTGAGGCCTTCATTCCAAAAGCAATGTTCCTTTGGTGCCTCTGTCTCTGGCAGCCACTCCATCTGCTGGCTCCATTATCGCAAAACCTGCCCCTGGAAGATTGCTCCATTGATCTAAGCAGCCTCACTTTTCGCCATTGACTGGGTAAGATTACAAGAACTGGGGGAAGCAGCAAGGCATTTGGCGCCAAATTGTTTTCTGGGGTTTTGGCTGATTTGCTGCTTTCTCAGACTCTGGCAAAGAACCCTCTGCAGCCTGTTTGACTGGGGGCACTTCTGAAAACCTTGAACAGATGGCCTGGAGGTGTGGGGTGGGAAGTACAGTTTTATTTCCACTGTGGCTCAGCCCTGTTTGTTCCTTTAAAAAGAAGCAGAGGAGCTACTAGTGCAAGTGAACACACCAAGACGGTACCTGCAATTCAGTTTCCCATAGTCCACACTTTGTTGACACTGGTTCTGGATGCAAAGTGATAAGGGAAAGGCCCTTGGAATGTGATGCAAGTCATGCTCCTGACTCTCATGATATTCCCATGCTGGAAACAGGGTCGAGATTCAGGTCAGGCAGTTTCCTGAGTTCAGATGACCCTGAATGTGCTCCTTTCCAAGGGGCTCCACTTTGCAAAGCAGGCCCAATCCATGCCACATTTCCAGGTGGGACTGGAAGACCTCCTGCCTTTGTCTTGACCCTACTGGAGGGCAGACCTTCACATCAATGTGGTCATGCTTTCAGCAAAGCTTGTTGTGGGTTTGCCTTGCCCGGGTATGTTCCATGTCCAGGATCTGGGCAGTGTTCCTGCAAAGCCTGTCCATGAGTAGCAATCTCAGGCACATGCTGCCATCCAAGGCATCCAAGCTGATACATCCACTTGATGTGTGTCCCTTGCCAGCTTCAGTGGGGGTGGCTTAGATGTGGGTAAAGTGCCTTGGGGTTACCCCAGCCTTGTGTTGGCTGCTTCAGCTGCATTTGATTTTAAACACTGATATCCATAGCAGGCAAAGCAGAGACAGTCCTATCAAAACCATCCTGGGAAGACAAATCCTGCTGGATAAACAAAAGCAACAGTTCCATCCAGTTGGGAGGCTGAAAGAAGCGCGTAAGTCCTCATTATCCATGGAGAAAGCCCTGTCTCTTCCTTAGGAAGGATGACAGAGTACATAAAACAAACCCTGATGTTGGAAAGCCATTTCAGCTGAGGGGAAGGATAGAAATCTTATAACCAATAAACAAATCTCACACAGGCTCCATCTCATCCACATCCCACCATGGCCAACCAGCTGTCCCAAAGGGAAGCCCGCCAGACAGCTCCCTCCTGCTCTGGATCTCCAGCAACTGGTAGACACAGAGACATTCCCACAGGTTCTTAGCAGGTGAACAGACTGATACAGGCATTGCAGGTTTCAATCAAGTAACTGCTTCACCAAGCATAATGATTCCTTCCCGATGGCACCCAGGATTTCGGAGATCTGCTCCATCATGGCTCAGAATAGGCCTTCAGGTCTGTAGTGCCTGCCCCATGGAACACCCTTCCAAGCCAAGTCAGGTTCTGGGCTTTTGGAGCCTGCTGAAAAGATGCCTTTTCTATCATGCTGATAGTCCTGTCCTTGTTATATTGTTTACACATTCCTTTAATAGGAACTATCAATACATTTAGTGGATAGTTCAGACTTAGTTACCAACTAAACTAATTTTGCTTAACTATATTTAATTAAGCAAAAGAGACTTTCCAAAATATTGCAGTGACTACTGTGCTCAACAGACCACTTCTTATACCTGTGAAAGACTCTGAGAAATTATCCAAAGGTGAAATTCATGTGCAATTTTCTGTGTAATCATCCCAAGTACAACCTGTACATGAACCTGCTAATAGGTGAGCGAGAGGCGATGAGAGAGAGGGGTAAATCCTTTATAAAAGTTCATCCTTGCCATGGAGCAAGTGAGCAGACTGTGAGGCCATGGTCCCTACCCTTCTCATCCAGGGTGTATGGTACTTTTAGGGACATTTTAAATTTTTATGAATGTTTTATCCTGCAAAACTCTCAGGTTGGCCTATTTTATCCCCACCACAACCCTGCAGAATAACTTAGGATGAATGATGGTGACTGGCCTGGCCCATGGATGCCCAGGGAGTTTCACAGCTGACTGGGGGTTCGAACCCATGGCAAAAGTACAATCCTATACTTGTTCACTTGGGGCAAGTTCCAGTGCACTGACTAGAGCTTCCTTGCATGTAACTGCTGTAGAGTGATTAGCATTCTGTAACGAGACTGGGGAGACCCCGTTTAAGTCCCCACTTGGACAAGGAGGCCACTTGTTGACTTTGCGCCGGTCATGGACTCTCAGCCTGACCTACCTCACCAAGATTTTGTACAGATGAAATGGAGAGGAGAAGCAAGACCAAATCCTCTGCCTTGGGCTCCTTGGAGGAAAAAGAGCAGGCCACCTACTGAAATGAAATGAAATGAAATGAAATGAAATGATTGGGCTGCATGGTTTTCCTTGTTTACATTTTAATATACATTCTCCAGTACTCCCCCCCCCCCACACCCTGCCCTCATTTTTAGCGTTGGTGGTAGTTGGGTATTTTCTCTCCCAGGCTTATAAGAATTTAATGCAGAAATATGATTGGCCTGACTGTGAAGGTCTATCAAAAGCATTGCAACACAGGGCAGAAAGTGAGCTGCCTCCCCATCCTAAATTACAGGGAGAAGGGCCACAGCTCTTGGGTGTCATATGGCAGGGAAAGGACAGCCTCCTGTGATGCATGGTGAGTCTTGAAAGGTCACATCAGATGCAAGAATGGCTTGTACCAATGGCATTTGAAGGTGATGCATTGATCCGTGGAATGGAAGGCAATGAATCAGTTAAGAATGTCCTCTAATCACCAAGCAGGCACCACTCACGGCAGCCTCTGGCTGGGGCCGATATTGACCTTCAGTCATATTCCAGGGGAAGAAGACTGGCTGAAAGAACAGACCAGATGGCATTAAGGGAGCATCCATAAGCAGCTCTCTTGGCAGCCAAGTCACAGGAAGGAAGGCGTTGCTTGGCAGCCACCCTGGTAGCCCAGTTCTCTGGTTATCTCCCAGTGCAGATGGAGGCTGTAGAAGGGATCTTTTGAGAGTGGCATCTCCTTACGACAGGCTCAGCCCCTAAATCTAAGCAGGCAAATATGAGCAAAGGTGAGAAAAGAGGAAAGAGAAGAGGAAATTAGATGTCTGCAAGAAAGAAAAGCTGAATTCCCTAATTTACATACTTTATTCTGCAGTGTTTTTCTGTATTACCTTCTCTATAAAATAGAAAGATCAAGTTTCTAGTCATTTAAGTTTTAAAAATAGGAATTTTAAAGATGCATGGACAGCTGCCTGGTGAACAGCCAGAAGACAGAGAGAGTGTGGACAGCTGGAGAAGAGTGCCAGTTCCTCAGGATGCTGCCATACAGTACTCAGAACTGGCTTCAGAGGAAGGATCTCTCAGTTTAGCAGAGGCTGCAAATCAACAGCAGGGGACGGCCGTTACCCATGCTGCATGTCGGATCTCTGGAAGACTAGATAGACTGTGGTCGGATTCAAAGAGACAATGTCTAAGAGCTCCACGGAGTTCTGAGTTTCCAAAGACGCTTTTCCAGGGCAGGAAGCATTTACCTTTCTTGATGGCCCCATTGTATGGGTTTAACTCAACACTCCTTCCTAGTTTTGCGATTGTGAAAGGGAAGCGGGGGAGCCTCACGGTCGCCCAAGATCTGTTTCATGTTATTTAGTGGCAATCTGCCCCCTTTCCTCAGGCCAGCATTTGCTTGGCCGGGAGACCAACCCTATTCTCTGCTCCTCCTGCGGACAAACCCTGCGGATCTGTGAGGCTGGAGGGAGGCCTTCAGGGCTGGTTACGCCCTGGCTTGTCTTGGTCTGGCTTGTCTTGGCTGAGCTAAACTGAGCTGTGCTGGGCCAGAATATTCGCCTGACGGAACTGACTGTCTTCCTGGTGTCAGAAACTGACACGCACCTGAGTTTGCAGCTCTCCTGCAGAAGGCAAAGAGTGGCAGTTGGTTCTTTCACACATGCATGAGTTCACCATCTGATGCGCCTTACCTTGCCACTCTTCCTCATCCCCACCACAGACTTGTTCCTCGCCTGCTCTCACTCTGGCTGGATTGCCGCGGTGGCGAGACAAAGGAGCGGGGAAGCCCAGCCTCCTCGCCCTGGCTTCCTGCCTGCCTGCCTGCCTGCCTGCCTGCCGGGCAAGCGAGCAGCGACCGGGACAGGAATGCAGAGAAGAATGGGGGCAGCTGGTGGCCGTGGCAGTGAGCCCTGAGAAAGAAGTGTATTGACTGTACCCTGCCCAAGCGCCTCCGGAGCCTGGGCTGGGCTTGGCTGTTGCAATGAACGTGTGAGGCAGAATTTGTCAAAGCCAGCCAGGGAGACATCGGCCACTGCAACAAACCCTCCAAGCCCAGCCCAGCCCAGCCCAGCAGAGAACTGGGGCTGCTGAAGCCATTGTGGTTCTTTTACAGACTCAGTGGAAGGATGTTCCCTGGGGCTTTGCAGTGTTGGGCCAGCAGGTGAATGGAAGAAAGGACAAGGCATTTAAAGGTGGCACCACCAGAATGGAAATGCGTCGCCACATGCACATATGCAGGCCAATGTAGAAATAACTGTGAGAATTCAGTAGGAATGCAGTCCATTTCATTCTCATGCTGACGTTTGTGACCAGGGGACCTACGTGTCTGACTGGACACTCAGCTGCCAGGTTCTGACTGGGTTTGGAACAGTGCTGGTGGCTCATTTACCTTCCAGCCAGAGTTGATAAGAGTGGCAATGTTGCGTAGTGGTGGGAGTGCCAGACTGGGGCTGGTGAGACTGAGCCTGGTCCCTCTCAGCCATGAAACCCACTTTGGGCCAGTTGCTGACACTCAACCTGAACCTCTAGTCAGCGTTCTTGTGAGATCGAATCAGGGAGGAGAAGGATAATGAAAGCCAACTTGGGTTCCTTGCAGCTAAAAGGATGGGATCCCATTGTAATAAATAAACAAACCAACATAAGCCTAAGACTGTCCTTCCAGCGGAGGATTGGCCTTTGTAAACGAGACTCCCGGCCACCCTAATGGCTTGTTCGGACCACCAGCCTTGACCTGTGGCCACCAGCATCTCTCGCAGAGCAAAAGAAGCAAAACCCGACTGTTCTAATTTCAGCAGTCAGGCTGGAAAGGCAACGAAGGACATGAACTGGGGACGTGTTCCCTTACCCTCGTGTCGGGTTCCTTTTGTGAATGAAGGTGGAGGGAGCTTCAGCCCATGTAGATAGTATAGGGTTTGGACTGGAGTTCGAAAGGTCCTGGAGCAGGAGCTACTAGGTCCTTCTGACAGAAGGAACAGGAAAGGAGGGCCCAACAGCCTGGTTAGAGGGAAGAAGAGACTTAAGGGCAACTATGGGTAGTCCATCTGGAGCAGCAACAGTACCTTCTGTCAGGTAAGCAAGGGTGACAATTTGGTAACTCATGGGTGACTTTTATGGGACTGCACTGGGTGCAGGAGGGAGCTACAGGCCAGCTGCAGGCTTTGCAAGTTGGTTGCTGCTGGCCTGGCGAAAGCTGAAGCTGCCCCAGGACAGGGGGAGAAGTGGCAATGGAGAGGCAATGGAGGCAGAGGAGCTCCTTGGTGTAAAAGTAAATGGAGCATTCCAGCTATAAACACTGTAAATCCAGAGGATTGTTTACCAGGTAGACAATCCTACTTCCAGGGCCAGTTCTCCATTTTTTGGATGGGCATACTGCTGTGGCCAGCTGGAATCTATCAACTTTTAGTACCTGTGTCAGGCAGCCAACAGCGCTTATGTGCCGATTGTGCTCCCCTTATGAGCTTCCAACAGCTCGACGCACTTAATCTTGCCATTTCTAGTACGCTTTCTCTCTCCCCCTGCCCATTATCTCGAGACACTGTTGCCTCCACTGAAAGAAAGGCCTTGAAGTAATTTGTGAACCTGAGACCTGCTCATTTGCTGCTCAATCACTTGGCCACCTCCACCCATAGTGACATCGGTTTGACCTGGTGTTTCAGAAATTGCATGCAAAGTGACATCACTTTATTCCAGTAAACGTTGCAGAAAACAAGGAATAAGAACATGAACACAAGGGAAACCCTGGGAGAAATGGAGGCTGGGGGAGCTGGAAACAAATGGGGATGAACCAAATTTGAAATCCTGGTGTGAATTTCTGGAGTGGTGCAGGGAGGGTCCAAAAGGGAGGAAATTAGTATTTTTCATAGCCATCCTGAGTCTTGTGCAAAGGATGGGGTAGAAATGGTTAATTTAAATTAAATTAATTAAATAAATAGAGTAGAATTTCTCCAGGATGCCAGAACTCTGCAAAGCACTTGTTTCCATCTAACAAGTTGCTAGTTCTCTTGAGGTCTTGTGAAAGCAAGACAAGATGTATCCCTTTAGTGACTGAGAACCAATCCTGTTCAATCTTTTCATTAATGACCTGGAAGAGGGGGTGACCAGTCTGCTGATCAAATTTGCAGATGAAGCTAAAATGGGGGTGGGGGCTGAAACTGAGGAGCAGGTACTCCAGATCCAAAAGGATCTGGACAGACTATGGAAGTGGGCCAGGGACAAGAGGATGGTGTCCAATGTGGAGAAGTGCAAGTGTGGCCTCTAGATTGAGAGAGGTATTACTGCCACTCTGTATGACTCTGGTGCGCCCGCAACTGGAGTATTGTGCTCAGTTCTTGGCTCCACATTACCAGAAGGATATAGCCAGGTTAGAATCGGTGCAGCATAGGGCCACAAGGATGGTAGCCAGATTGCAGGGGAAGCTGTATGAGGCAAGACCAAGGGAACTGGGTCTTTTCAGCCTGGAGAAGAGAAGCCTCTGAGGGAATCTGTTGATGACATCTAAGTACATGAGGAGGCGTCACACAGACATGGGTAGAGACCTGTTTTCCCCTACAGAGGAGGGCAGGACGTGTTCCAATGGAGCAAAGCTCAGGGAACCAAGGTTCAGTTGGGATGCCAGGAAGCACTTCCTGACAGTTAGACTCCTAGGGTATGGAATGGGTTTCCACAGGAGGTGGTTGAAGCCCCATCGGTGAGGATGTGCAAGGATAGGCTGGACATGCACTTGATAGGCATGTCATGAGCATAGCTGGCTGGAGCCAGGGGTCAGACTAGATGGCCCGTGTGACCCCCTTCTGACTTGCTCTGATTTTAAGTTTCTATATGATGGATTGAAGGCAAATAATCAATGGGACTTAATCATGACTAACACGGTACTTTATTACTTAATAAAATTAGTAATCATCTAGAAGCACAAGCACTGCTGAAAAAAACCAAACTGGTTTCTGCAAGGGCTGGTCACAGTAAAGTTCTCTGGAGAGTAGATGGACATGTGGACAGGAGAGATTGTTTGGTTGGACTTTGAAATGGCTTTTGACAAAGAAGCTGAAGCAAGGGCTCCTGAAGAAACTTAGCAATCACGGAAGAAGGAGAAAGCAGAAAGTGGAAATAAATGGTGTATCCTTCCAATGAGATATGTAAGCAGTCAGGTGCCTCAGAGATCTATTCTAGGATCAAGGTGTTGCGACTTCTTCATAAATGATCTGAAATCAGGAGTAAGTGGCAAAGTGGCCTAATTTACAGGTGGCGGGAAATTCTACAGGGTGGTTAAAAGAAAGAGGGATTTCAAGGAGCTTCCAGGGGCAATTCCCACACTGGGAGAATGGGCATCAAGACAACAAATTAGGTTCATTGTAAGGATAGTGTAGAATAACACACACTGGGGCAAA